GACGGCCGCGATCAGCTCGTCCTCCCGCAGGGAGATGAAAGGCGGCAGCCCGTCCGAGGGGTAGTACTGCTGGCTCTCCTCCTGGGTCTCCAGCATCTCTCGGGTCTCCGCAAAGTCCACCTGATACCCTTCCCGGGGGCTGAACTCCACGGGCTGGAAAGTCCCTTCCTTGCTCTGGTTGCCGGGCGGCGGATTCAGCGTTGTAACCATCAGTAGCAAAAAGCCCAGCGTCAGCAGCAGCAAGAGAAACTGCAGCTTACGTGATCCATACCTGCACTTCTTCCTCAAGAACATGCTGTTGGTGGCAAAACGATACAGATGGTCATGTTAAATATCACTTGGATCTTTCTCAGGCTCCGGTCCTCGGGTTGCAGCAAAGCCCTGGTTTTCACTATCTGCCAAGAGGATTTTTTTGCTCCCCTCGCGTTTCAGTGATGCTGTTTCATGCTTTCCTCTCTATTCACAGACAAAATACAAAACTCCTACTAATATTGCACTTACTGTAGTAAAAGGTAGCATGGATCCAGTGAGATAAATAGATCCTTTATCATACAGAGTCCTAGCTTGGTTAGGAAGCGCAGATTTAGCTGATGAAAAGAGCAACGAAAGTTTTGATGTTTTCCTTTTTAAATTCTAAGTAAAAAGAAATCCCGTTTCTTATAGTTTCCTCTCAGAGTAGTTCCTGCTTCTTCAAAGTTTCGAGTTGCTGCCTGGACTGAAGCGCCTTATCTCTGGAAGCAGATCTGACAGCTCTCCCCCGTTCTGAGGCTTCAAGTTAACTGATCAACAGATGAGAACTAGTCAGTCCCTGACTTTGTTTCACACATAACTACGGCACTCAGTCAGGAAGCACTTTGCCAGACATAATACAGAGCAATGTGTGCGTCTTGCTCTTGGTCCTAATGCCCTCGCTGTTCTTGTCCTATCAAATCAAAACTTTGCAAGAGCTGTGAGAGGTGAAATATAAGAAGTAAAACATTGCATTGTAAAAGAAATCAAGGTGCACCGCAAATCGCTCTACTTCTGAATAGCTGGACAAAGCTAAGAATGCTCAGAGAAAGAAGCAAGAATTTTATAAACTGAATGAAAGGTGGAGTGCACATGATTTATTTAGGGTTAGATTTATTCATATGGTAATATGCTAGCTGGAGTATGTGAGTATATTTCATATTTAATAAATATTTATAGCTGTAGGGATTTTAACACTGACATAAGGATGCCAAATTATCACCTGGCAGACTGAAGTTGTCTCCTCATCCATAAATCTGGTATTGCAGGGGAAGCAGCACTTCAAGTTTTCAATAGTCCAGGAATAACAAGTAGAAAGCCTGGGCTGGAACAACAGCTCCTGACACCGAAAGAAAACGACAACCTCTGTGATTGAAAGGGGAGCTCAGTCTCTGACGTCTGTTTGCTAATATTGCTGGCATGGGTGCTAGTGGGCATGGACTGTGGCATTTTTTGCTGCGAGAAGGATGCTTGTCCAATGGCAAAAGGGGTGAGACAGTCCACATGCTTCAGTGTCACAAGCCTCTTGGTCTGGTAGAAACCAAGTATGGATGAAACTGGTGTTACCAACCCTTTTGATGCATGGGATGTGTTTTTTGCATGTCTTGTGGTGTTTGATGAGCAGAAAGCTCGAGCTCCAGGAGGCATGTGATTACTGGAGAAGTTCCACATTCACCATTTGTCAAAAAGTACTTTTCTAGACATTATAGGTAAAAAAACCACCCTGAAGACATGAATGCAGTATACTCTAAAAGGAACCAGGGATTTGGTCGTTTTTTTCTTCTTTCCCATTTCTTCCCTGTAAGAACTTCTTTAAGTTTAGCCTACTGTTCCTGGTAAACAGCCTTCAAAAAAATTTAAAATAAAAATGAGAGGACACTTATATTCAAACTAAAATGAGTCATGGCCTTCAAAAGGAAGGACTGGATAGAGCACCTTAAAATTGCTGGAGGTATGTAGTGTCTGGCACTTCTGTGTGTTCTCCCCTAACTGCCTCACACAGAATGCCCTGAGGTAGTGTGACCAGTCTGCTGTGTTTTGGCACCTTCCCTACCTCAGCTGTTCTTTAAAAGATGTAATACTGCTTTAATCATATCTTGAGTAGAAGGAAGATTTAGCCAATATTTTGATACTTCACCATTGTGTGTGTCTCCCTCTTTTAGCTCAAATTCACAGAAAAGTAACATGCCAACCCACCTTCAGCCCTGAGAATATTACTCTTTATCCTACTTTTCATAGCGAAAAAGAAGTGTTGATGTTTTCAATTCAATAGGGAAGCAGCCTACATTTGCATTAAAAAAATCTGAGTTCAAAAGCATTCATTTAAATAACAATATGTGTCAGCCGTAGAAAGACAAAATGAAATGGAAATGAAGAGACCTGTCCCAGGCACTCTGCAAAAAGCTGGCACCAGTGACTTACAAAAGGTTAAGTCCCATTATCAGGCACATAGAAGAAAAGAAAATATGAGAAAACAAAAGGAGAAACTTAAGAGTGTGTGAAATAAATTGGAGAAAGTATTACTGGCTTTTTTTTCTTTTCTTTACTTTTCTGATCTACCCAAATATTTTGATTTAATTTAATTAACATTTTTACCCTGGCTAAAATATTATAACAGGATGCCGTAACACTTCTGATCAAGATAATTCTAGCCTGCAGTAGTAACTGCTGTGTAAATTCTGTCCTGCTATGTTCTGCGCTGCTGAGCAAAGCCACCTGGGTCTCTTGTGCAGCTATGTTTCAGCTACAGATGAAAAGAGACCCAACTGACAAATTTACAGCAATCTTTGCTACTTTTGGGACAGAGCTGATAGTGTCACTGAAACATATGCATGTGGAATCTGGCCTTTGGATGTATCCTGACCATTTTAACAAAGAAGAAATGAACAATTACAGAAGATGCTTGGAGGCCAATCTTGTCAATTAAATGTGCAAGTGTCAAACACTGGGTGGCACGCTTCCAGCAGCCTCTATTCTCTGTCCAGCATGGACCTCTCTATTGAAACTTTCTCACAACCATCCCCAGTTCTGCACAACAAGCCTTCCTGAACCATCTCCCATCAACCAGTCTGTTTTCCAACCTCGTCTCTCAAAAATGAGCCAGGAAAGAAAGCACTGTGATTTTCCACTGCCAGCATACAAAAGAGAGATTGTCTTTCCAATGGCTAAGCCCTTCAGTGTCTGACAGGACATGTCTTGTTTCCCAAATGCACTTGAAGAACACCATCACTTTCTTATGATCTCCCTACCTGGAAGTCAAGAAGACCACATCCATGGTATTTTCTTTCTACCTGTGGTTAGTAAAAAGCATGCGACAAAGAAAGCCCTTCCACTGGGACACAGAACGGGTTGCGCCTCCTGCCTAGCTGTGGAGGAGTCCCTCTCCCCAGGCATCCTAGGACACATTCCTGTGCATCATTTGATGGAAGAGGAAGGAGCACTTCATGTGCCAGGCTCTACCCTCGGGCCTTACAGGCACTGCCTGCTTTCCCGCTTCCAGTCTCTTAAGTGCTTCTTCATGCAGGTCGCCCATGAAAGAGGCTGGCCACAAAAGTTGTTGTTGTTCTTGGGCTGCTGCTCTTACAGCGGACCCTGGAGCGCCTCGGTCAGTGGGAGAGAAACATGTTACAGACTGTGCCAAATACATCAGCAGTTGCTCCAGAAAGGGCCAATCTCTGGTGCCAGTACTGACCAGTGCCAATATTGTGTTGTCTTTCCTGCTGGTCAGCTCATGCAGGTGCTGAAAGAGTTAGGCTCCTAACCAGCCCTGCTGAGGCAGACCTGGCTGTGGAACATATACATGCCTTCAGCAAATACAAAGTCAAGCCATATTGACTCCTCCATTCTGTAATGCTTGCTTATGCCTCTAACTGACGAGGAAGAAAATATTCACTGTCCTTCACTGTTGCAAATTTTACTCACTAATTGCCAAGAGCTAGAACATTAAATCAAATCTAGGTCTTATTATTCATTTGAAAAGTGTTAGGAAACATACTTGCCTTATCCTGGGCAATAAGCCCTTCAGTCACTGTGGTGTAGCTGTTTGTACTTACCCTTTCCTCCCCACCTCATTTTGGCTTGCTGTTTTGTCCAAACCATTCCCCATCACAAACTGTTAAATATTTAAAGTGACACGTTATGTTATCCGTACGTGAAGAAACAACATATACTTTCAATGTGCAGAGCCCGTATTTAACTGCCAGGAACAAAGAAAGAACAAAAATAAGGCTGCATGGAGGAAAGAGCGCGTGGACAGGTTGTTACTTACTCTTTAATAAACATCTTGGATTGATTTACACTCCTATGCCAAAAGCAGATGTGCCACCTTCCATTTAAAGACTCAACACGTAGCAGCACGCGTGGTTTCATAGCTGCACGTATTATATGCCACAGCTCTTTGTGCATTGTAACAACGGCTTTGTTTTCACAGATGTGAAGAAAGTCAGTGCATAAAATGAGACTGATTACATGGTGCACAGGATTTGTGGTAGTTTTGTAGTTAAGTTACTTTCTCATTCTTCCCAGGATACAGCAAGAAATATGTATTTTTAGATTATAACAAGATATAATTTATTTGCAGGTGTTGCAGATGCTTCACGTACTTGGCATTGCACCAAGTATTGTCCATTCAAGGACATTTTCTAATAGCAAGTTAATAATAGACTAGAACAAGGTTCTGTGGAACTTGGTTTTGGAGTCTATCAAAGCTTGATAATATCTGTTGATTGCTGGCAGGGATTTTGGATCTAGCATTGAGATTTATAACATGTTTGCCAAATTGTCAGTGAAGGAAATGCAGCTGAAATTCCATTTTTACAAGATTTCTGCTCATAAATCATAAGGTCAGTGTAAAATGGAGCATGGAAGCCATGGATCTGTTTGCAAAAGCAGTTCTGTGGGCATGAAGGTCAGTACCACTTGATGGGAAGTAGAGGGAACATATCACAGGAGTGACAGCGTCTGATTTACTGCACCACAGCCTCTGGCTAACTTAGAAATGGTAGCTTAAAGTAGTAGGACTGAAAAGGCAGTAGTATGTACTCTGTGCCTGAAACCTAACCTCTAACACACCTTAGACAGTTACCAGCTATCTGGGAGGGGTAAGACCTGTGATCACTATTAGTCAAACTAGAAACGATACATCTCAGGCACTGTGGGCAATACACGTACCATCACAATCTCTTGCCTCTTGTACTCAACTGCTATTAATATGCTTAAGCTGGAGGGGGTTCTGTATACCTTCAGTCCCCAGTACATCAACCTGAGGTAACCTGAATCCAGCTCTA